ACTCCAATATGTTGAGGATGACTTGCTACAGAAAATAACTCATACAACATAGCCTAGGTCTATACAGGGTTCCCGCCTTAACTGTTTCAAAAAAAAGGATGGAGCTTAATGGATGCGCATAGACAGCCGCATCATCAACAGAATCACTGTTAAATTCAAATTTTCTTATGTTGAGAATCGAAGATCTGCTAGATAAACTAGTTGGGGCCTCATACTTCTCCAAATTAGATTTCAAATCCGAGAGATGAGTGGAAAACCACATCCAAGTCACGAGGAGGATGGTTCGAATGATGGGTTATGCCTTTCGTGCAATGCAGCACCCCTAGTACTTTTTATTAGATTATTGCATGAGGTATTCCAACCCTTTCTTGGCTGATTTTGTATGATTTATTTTGACGATATCTTGATTTACAATGCATCTTTATGAGATTATCTCAATTACCTTCAATGAATGTTTTCTACCTTAAGAGAAAAAAGCTATATTTGAATATGCCTAAGTTTGAATTTTAGGCTACATTATTGGTGGGAAGGAATCCCGAAAAAATAGAAGCTATTACATATTGGCCAACTCCTAAAACAAACAAAGAAGTCCAGAGCTTCCATGGTCCAGCCAACTTTTATAGGTGATTTATTAAGGGCTTCAACACCATTGCAACACCCATCATTAAGTGCTTGAAGGCCAAATGCTTCAATTGGGGAGCGGAACGACAAACCAGTTTTTGTAGCTTAATATGACACTTAGTTCTACTCCATTGCTCACCATTCCCAATTTTCAAAAGACATTTAAGATAAAAATTGAAGCATCAATTATGGGAATAGGCCTGGGATTTTTCAGCAAAAAGCTAAGCACCACGAGGCTAAAGTGATCCATATATAAGCATGAATTATGCAGCTATTTGAGCTCTAAGCCAATAAGAGCACCACCAGAAATTTATTTTACTCGGCGACCCTTATCCCCTTCAATTCTTACAATCCCTACATAATTTGAACTGAATGCATGTGAGGTGGGAGGTTTTCTTATAGAAATTCAGTTTTCATTGTGAAGTTTCATGCAGGACACATCTAATCGCCGAGCTATGTTGTTGGTGGATGTAAAAACTAGTATCACATGAATGGAACTACATGGTAGAATGTATGCATTAAGGACTTTGCTGTCCCCTGGAACCAATGCATCAAACATTCACTAACCTAGGAGTCTTTAGTAGTAGCTAGCAGTAGAAAAAATCAAAGGTCCACAAATCTTGTACACATGCTATAGCTACTATTGCATTGCAGGCCTATTTCTGGTGGATCAATGGACCCTGCAAGAAGTTTAGGACCAGCACTTGCCACCAATAGATATGGGTCTCTATGGGTATGTTTCATGGGTCCTATACATATAGATATCCATTGCATGATTTAACCACCAGCAACTAACTCGTACCTAAATAATTGTTATTGACTTTGAAGCATGTTTCTGGAAATTATCTAAAATAGGTGACCTAAACTAACAAGATCGATGAATAATTTGATGCTTGATTATTTTATTTCTTTATATGATTGAATAAATTTTAATGAACGTTAAGTTTGTCCAATAAATGACTGAATTTGACCATTCTTTCATTCTTGCTGCCTATATTGGTGAACATGCTTTTTTGAAAAATGGCTTGACAATTTCTATTTTTATATGTTTCTTTTAAATTTTAAATCTTATGTATTTTTCTTTAATTTTGCTCATTATTATAGCTATAAATATAAATAATGTGAAATCTCTTACGTAGATTGAAGCCAAACTCTTAAACATTGACAAGTCTTTTGGTGTAATTGTGGAATTCCATTAGAAACTCCAAAGTTAAATGTGCTCGACCTGAATCACTCTTGGAATGAGTTACCTCCTGAGAAGTTATATCAATGGGGCAAAATCATGATGAGTGAGAGTTCTAGCTATGCAATAACATATATTTTTATTAATATTTAAACATCATCATGGAACTTAAATAATGTTCAACGAACTATATGAATTTTGATTAAAGTTCAATTATGTTGATAATAATGTTATGAATGTAAGTCTAATTATTTACTCCATTAATACTCCCGTTTCACTCTAATTTGATAAGAAAATTAACGAAAAAAAAAGTCAATAAAAAATTAATAAATTTGAAAGATATAGTATTCAATTTGATCTACTTCATTATCAACCTCTATCTCTCTATTTGAGTTGTGTAAGATCTCATAGCTCCATGTGATTATTCGGGGTTATCTCGTCTAATGAAATTGTTTTAATTGTAAGATTATTATAATTAATTTTTATACATATAATCCCTAAAATAAATTTAAATTTTAGAAATTTAATTATACATATTCCTATCTTAAAATTCTATGAATATTCTTTCAAAATTAACTTAATTTTATGATTTATATCTTTTAAATTTTTGTTGGATATTAAAATAAATAATTAAAATTTTTGATACAAGATATTAAATAATATAATCTTTAAAATCTAAATAATTTAAATATTAATTTATAATGAAAAGCGATTTTCTAATAGCTGTTACATGCATTGTTTGCTAGAATATTTGTGGCTTTAGAGAGATAATTTAATGTTTTACTTTTATACGACTATTCAATACACAATGTAGATAAAATAAGGTTGTAAACGAGATTAAAAATTTTCATTGAAAAATCTCTAGAACAAGAAAAAAAAAAGGTGAGGCATAATTTAATTAAAATAATAAATTTTACATGATGTGTGGCTATAGAAGTATGTTTTTTTTTTAAATTAGGGAATATAATATTATAAAATTTAGACAATTAGATTAACCTCCTATGTTCGTATTAGAGAATATTAAAATATTAGTAAAAGGTGGTTACAATGATCAAAAGATGATTATGTGAAGATCATAATTTGTATATGATTTTTCACACGACTATTGCTAGATAATGGAGGTAAAGTGTGACAGACGAGCAACAATGGTTGGGCAACAATAGCTGATAATTGTTTGACAAGCCTTTAAAGCTCTTATTTTTTTTAAATTTATCTCTAAATTCAAGTTCAAAGCCCCCTTGCATGAAAGAAATTGGGTCTTTTTGTCATTTTTAAGAGTAATATTTTGATCATTTTACTCAAAATTTGAAAATAATCAATGAAAGGTGATGGCTCTGTTAATTATAGTCAATTTTTTTATAATATTTTTGTGTTTTAATAACAACATAATTAAATAATATTAAACTTAATGGATGTCCCTTGTCAACATGATTATTTTAATTGTCAACAGATAAATTTCTTTGATTTATTGAATAATGCTATGATTTTCTTATTATATTTTATGTGTTTGATTTGAGCACATTTACGCTTAGATTATTACACTTTTAGGTTTTGTTATGTCCATCCCACTTAGAAATTCATTTTAATAATAAAATTGCCAAGATACATTTTAGAAGATTCTAAAATTAATTTAAAAAATATCTAATTCAAATAATGCATATGATTCATATTTGATCAGATGAAATTTCAATTTGATTATAAGTTTTCAAATATATAATTTGAATGATTCTAAGATTAAGTTAAAATAGAAAAAAACTTGATTATATGCATTTTGCCTAAAGTATTAAAATAGAGAATTTTTTTTTTAAATTTCATTTAGCTTTATGATAAAACTATTTTTATCATAAGCTTGACTTCAAATTTCATATTTTTTTTTCTTAAAAGTTAAATTATTAGAGAATTGAGCTAAAATTTTTAAAAAATAAATTATAAAATAATATAATTAAAGGCTTAAAGCATTAAATTTTCATGAAATTCTTTCATAACCATATTTATAAATATTTAATAATTTTCTTATATTATCCACAAATTTAATTGTATTTATCTTTTATAAATAATTATATAAAAAAAGTTTGTTATATTAAGAATATTATATAAACAAGGGCAAGTGGACAACTGCTATAAAAATAGTATTGGGTTTTGCCGTGAAGTTTTGACTAATGGCCCATACTTTAATCCTGAAATTACAGTACAGGCCTACTCCTCATAAAGTTGATGATAAACGGTCGTTTATTTCTCCATCCAGAAAGACAGACGACGTTAAGTAGGCGTTACGCGGCCGAGAGGACCCGGTCTTCAATCCTTAAAAGCCTGGTCTTTCTTCGATCTATGCAGAAAGAGAGCTCGATTTGGTGGCCTTCATAGTTTTGAAGGGGGTGAGATAGAAAGAAAGAGCGCGAAGACCTTTTGGTGAGCTGACATTCACCCACAATCTCCCCTTGTTCATTCTATCTATCAAATTTTCTGCTAAATTTTGTTGAATTTGGTGTTGATTTTGGTCATTCTTGGCCTGTTGCCCCTAAAATTATTGAGTTTGGGTTGTATAGGATAGTTTGCCTGTTCAGATTCTGAAATTTGAGGTTTTTTTTTTGGGTGGAGAATTTGTGTATTGATCAATTACTAGGGCGTTTATGCTGGTCTGCAGGGATTATAATTTTTTTTTTTTTTTTTTTTGTATTATTTTCGGATATTTTAGGCGGGGGGTCGGGGGTGGGGGACTATTTTTATCATAAGCTTGACTTCAAATTTCATATTTTTTTTTCTTAAAAGTTAAATTATTAGAGAATTGAGCTAAAATTTTTAAAAAATAAATTATAAAATAATATAATTAAAGGCTTAAAGCATTAAATTTTCATGAAATTCTTTCATAACCATATTTATAAATATTTAATAATTTTCTTATATTATCCACAAATTTAATTGTATTTATCTTTTATAAATAATTATATAAAAAAAGTTTGTTATATTAAGAATATTATATAAACAAGGGCAAGTGGACAACTGCTATAAAAATAGTATTGGGTTTTGCCGTGAAGTTTTGACTAATGGCCCATACTTTAATCCTGAAATTACAGTACAGGCCTACTCCTCATAAAGTTGATGATAAACGGTCGTTTATTTCTCCATCCAGAAAGACAGACGACGTTAAGTAGGCGTTACGCGGCCGAGAGGACCCGGTCTTCAATCCTTAAAAGCCTGGTCTTTCTTCGATCTATGCAGAAAGAGAGCTCGATTTGGTGGCCTTCATAGTTTTGAAGGGGGTGAGATAGAAAGAAAGAGCGCGAAGACCTTTTGGTGAGCTGACATTCACCCACAATCTCCCCTTGTTCATTCTATCTATCAAATTTTCTGCTAAATTTTGTTGAATTTGGTGTTGATTTTGGTCATTCTTGGCCTGTTGCCCCTAAAATTATTGAGTTTGGGTTGTATAGGATAGTTTGCCTGTTCAGATTCTGAAATTTGAGGTTTTTTTTTTGGGTGGAGAATTTGTGTATTGATCAATTACTAGGGCGTTTATGCTGGTCTGCAGGGAATTTAATTTTTTTTTTTTTTTTTTGAATAATATTCGGATATCTTAGGTGGGTGTTGGGAGATGGACGATCATCTAGTGCTTCATGTGGATCGTCTGATAGCTCCACGGACGGTGGAGACGGTGGTGCATGGAGGGGATCGACCAGCTTCTTCTTTTGTGAAGGAGGAAAATGCAGTTTCTGAAGAAGATGCCCCGCTGATTCCGATGGTAGAATGCCGCATTTGCCAGGAGGAGGATCATAACAAGAATCTGGAGACCCCCTGTTCTTGCAGCGGCAGTCTCAAGTTCTATTTTTATCATAGTTCTCCCTTTTTGTTGGATTGTTCGAATTTTATTGTTTGATTTGTTACTTCAACTCTTCTGCTCTGGATGATATTTTATGTTTGATTTCTTGCTTAATTGACACCATGCTTATTTCTTGCAGAATATAATATTTCTTGTTTTGATCAGTCTTATAGTTCTCTGCTTTGTGAAGATGCCCCTTGTCCCTGGAGAATTTCTTAGAGTGTTGCCTGGTCTTTTTCTTTAAATATTTCTACTGATGCATGTATGGAATTATGCATCTAATGTATGGGTGTTTCTTGATAAATGGATTTGCGCATATTAGCACGAATGTTGGACCAAGAATTCAGCTCTGATCTATTTCAATGAGCTAAACCTTGCTTAGCTCAAGATATATGATTGCAGCTAGCACGAATGTTGGACCAAGAATTCAGCTCTGATCTATTTCAATGAGCTAAACCTTGCTTAGCTCAAGATATATGATTGCAGCTAGCCTTTGCTAGACCTTAGGTGGAATGAATGACTCTGAGCTGATCCCGTGTCGGGGTTAGATCAACTTGAGATTTGATCTTTAATAGCCCAATTTATGGTGTCTAATTTTGAAAATTTGATTGTATATTTTGAGTGTGTTTTGGGTAATAATAAGGTTAACATTATATAATTTTATTTTGGGCTTTGCTTACACACATTTTGAAATGACCCATTATTGTGACCCACTATGGTTTACAGAGATGAGATTGATGATATGCTACTAAGTCAGGTCAATGTACCTTTCAACTTTGAGTTTCAGTATGTTGTGTTGCACTAATTGTAGCGATAACTCATGTTTTTGAATCTTGCATAGGTGATCTAAGAGTCATATAGCACACGAACTATACTTTTATTGGAGTTGCAATTTGGCAGATCCTTGTTTAGCTAACATGTTAGCCTAGAGTTGAGTGGCACCTACTAGATAGTGTCCTGAGGCAGTTTGGGACAATACAATATACTGAAATGCTTCTGATGGAGCCTAATTTTGGAAAAGTATATGGTAGCGGTAGGGTTGATTTTGATTGGGTTGACTATCATGTGATAGAATATAAATGCATTGGTCGTTCAGTCTAATGAAAATTTTGATGATCATGGTGACAAATAACTGAGACAATATATGTTTTAATATAGGTTGTGGGCCTCATTATATTTATTAAAGGCATCAACAAAACCCCGAATGACTTTTTACCCGAGAGCAGCCCTAGATCAGCTGTTGGTATGTCAATATCATTAAAATTCAAATATTCATGCATTTATATTTCAGGCTTTCTTTTTCTTTGTTACAGTGCAACTATTTTTTAGAGTTTAGAGGGAGCTACAACCTTTTTTTGGTAGAAATGAGAATGCCTTCATTCAACACACAATTAATATGATTGAAGAGCTATGTATTGTTATTCGGTGCAGCATGGATATTGTGAATGATAGGTACTGAGATAATAGCAAACAATTTAATTCTATAGTGCCGGTCTTTTCCTCTAGCGCTCTGGATCATGAAATGTTCACTTTTGCAGATTCATGCCCATTTACTTGTTTGGGTACATTGTCATCCCACGACATGCACAACCCAAGTGGTATACCATCCTTCACACAATAGACATCATTTGGTTTCATCTGGAACGTGGGTTTGGCAGGATATTCTATGCATATAAATACACCAACATATGTTTGCCAGTACTGGATGCTAGCTCCATCGCAACCACATCATCACAGGTCATGAAATGGTCCAACCAAACATCCGCAACAAATGAGGAAAGGGAGAATGTTGATGTTGACATAACGGAGCATTATCTATTTGAATGTCTATTTGAACACCTGATCATTATGCATATGAGACGGATGCCATTCGAAGATGTAGAAGAATGCACTAGTTTCATATTTTTTTAGATGTTATTTTCTTTGATATTTTTTATTATTATGTTCTATTGCTAGTGAAACTATATGTCGAATAGTCACATGGACTTGTGATTTCAATATAGTTTTCTGTTGCTATTATTTTTTGAAAATGTTGGATGTTCTTCACATAGCTGATAAAAATTTGACACTTCAAAATCATGTAGTCACCCTACCTGATATGGTCCTGAACTTTTGAGTTTATCGCACTCACACTTTGCCAAGTTCATGCCATAAAAAACATAGATTTTTGCTAATTGAAAATTTTTATATACCATTGAGTTTTCTTTTATTCATCGTTTAGGGCTTGTTGATATTCCATTCTGTTTTATTATCTACCTATTGTTTGCTTGGCTATATCATGTCTATCATTTGACATCTGTCTTTTATCACGATGTTATGTCATTCTTTCACTAAAAGGTTTTCAATTATGATACTAAGGTTTTCGTGTTTTCTATATTTATCTGGATCCAATATTCTGTACTAAATCTTGGTTTCTATTGGCTTATTGGAGTATAGTTCAACCTCTGGTAGTTTTCTACCATAAAATATGTTGATTTAGTTCATTTTTATCTGTTTAAGTTGATGTGTTTTCAGTAATATTTGTTCTCACTTTTATTTTCTGGCACATTTGTAGTTTGCTCATAGAGAATGCGTGCAACGATGGTGCAATGAGAAGGGGGATATAATTTGTGAAATTTGCCAGGAGGTTTGTTGTAATCTTCGTTTTGGCTCTTGGTTTTACTGATATTGTTATGTGAAGTTGGAAATTAAATTTACAACCATGATTCATCTTCCTCATGGCAGATATAAATGCCTCCTACTTGGTTCATTCTGCTTATTTAAAACCGTCAAAATATTTCATTTAGATAACAGCATCAATTCATTTGAACCAGACCTAATGTGATAGTTGGACGTTGAATGAGTTAAAGCGTGGTATTTCTTGGTCAAGAGATACCACCTTTGTGATGCTAGTGAAGTGAAGTTCTATTTTGATGAGGTGCTATCTATTTTAATCAATTTGGATATAGGTTTTCTATACATATAATGTTATTGGTTGTTGATTTATCATAATCATACAAAGTGTTTTCAGGACCGCTAGACTACAACCCATCAATACCTCTTACCATGCTCTTACCATGAACTGGATTTTGAAAATTTTTACCACAGATCATACTTTTTAATTTATGGCAATTGTAAATTGTTATTAGACCATGTCAGGAGAATATGACTGTAGTATCCGATAATACATTCTTTATATAGGCTGATTATTATTATTTTTGTTATTCCAAAGTTTTATTCATGTGTAAATGGTCAAAATTTTACTTCTCTCTATTTATGGGGATAAATATAGTTTATGCTTTTGACAGAAGAGTCATCCATGCATGAAATTGCATAGAAGGTTGTTTGTGGATCATTTTATTCTCAAATGCTGCCACTTAAAATTGGTGTATTATTGAGTATTAATTGGCTAATCTGGCCCAAATTATATGATTGCAACTAAGATAGTTTTCATTTTAATGAGCTCTTCTAGAGATATTTGAAAGCAAGTATTAAGTTTTACTATTATGCCTATGTGTAATAATAATGCATGCAATTTCACGCTCTTTTAGGCACTCACATTTGCCAGATATGTAGCTAACGTTTGACAGTTAAGCCAACTACGAGTCTAATTAAATAAACACACGTCCGAGGCGTATGTCCTGAATGGTATATCATCTTAATATCAAAGTATATTATAGAAAAAATATAAACCATCTCTTCTCTTTTATTTTAAAATATAATCAAGAAACGTATCTGGACGTTGAGGTCACTTTGAAGTAGCTTGAGATGGAGTATCTCTATGATTACGTTGCAGATGTGATGCCATTTGAACTTTTGATTAGAATTTAAGGTTGCATGTCCATTATATTGTTTTGATTTAAAAGTCAAGGTTTTATCGCAAATTTTTATGTTATCCTTTTTACCTTATGATAGTGAAGAATATTATAGATTGACTCAAAAAAATAAGGTGGAGTTGTCCCTATAAATAATGCATAAAGACAATCTTTAGGCCCAATGAATTTCTTATTGAGATTTATATTGTAGTGATTGAAGATATTAATATTTAAAAATAAAGTTGTTGTTTCAGACTGTCAGCTAAGAGGAATCAATTTTTTTATTCATATAATGAAATTATGAGAGATTAATGGAACATGTATCAATCTAAGAGCACCAATTTAATTTATTGTCATAAAAATATACTTTGGAAGTGATTTTTGTCCAGATAATTGATTGACTAATACATAGAATTAAGAAATGATTATGTGATTAGAAGGCATGTGATCAATTGCCATGATAATATAATGGAACATTGACAATTATTAAAAGTTGTTGTTGTGTGACCCAAAATTTTATAATTATGATTGTTTTACATTAAAGTTCAATATGAAGTTTATATATTCTTGTATATAGATATGTTTACAAATGTATTCAAATAGAGTTATCTTGGTTAATTTTTTTTTACCTATAATATGGTTCTAGTTGGCAAGCCTTCTTTTAAAATAAATGAAATGTTATAATAATGAAGGAAATGAAGCCCTTAAAATTAATTAAATCAAGACCGAATGTATGATATATAATTCTAGTATATATGATGTTAACAATTATCATTTGATGATGATTAAAATGGAGAAATACTTTATCATTTTGGCATGATAAGAGAATATCATGGAGCTAAATTTTATAAAACTATTAGTTCAGTATTGCTGTAGAATCTAAATATTGGGCCATAAGAAATTATTGATATCTTAGTTGAATATGGTGTAAGTGGGAATGTTAAGATTGACGTGTGACAAAATTATGAAAGATAAATTAAAGAATGTTTATGTTAGAAGAAATGTAGGAGTGACATTTATTGAAGACATGGCGACCGAAAAAGGACTTGGCATGATTAGATATGTAAAATGAAGGTTAATATGATTTTCTTAAAATGTTGGTCTAAGAGGGCGTTGAGATTGACGTGTGAGAAAATCATGTAGGATAAATATTACGTTGACTCTTAGTCTAAGAGCAAATTTGTCTTTTGTACGCCTAAAGGCAATTTAGTCTTTTATTATTATTGTTGGGTTTTATTATTATTATTGTTGGGTATAAATAAGTTTGTTATGTCTAGGGTTAGGTTTATGCATGAGATTAGAGTGTGAATCTTAGGTTTAGGGTTCGCCAACCTCTCGAATTGTAGCTGCTTATTGTTGTTTTCGTCTAGTTGTTTGGATTATTGCAATAAAAAAATGTGTTTTCCCTAATTTTTATGGAAAAACGTGTGTTGATTTTGATGCCAGATCACAACAATAAATTAAAGAATGATTATATTAGAAGAGATATTGGTGTGAAATTTATCGAAGACAAGGGCATGGAAGATGGAGTTGGCTTGCTTAGACATGTAATATGTAGGTTAGTACATCTGTTCCTTAGATGAGTTGCTAAAATTACTATTAGAGTATTAGGAGGGAAAAATAATAGAGATCCCACGTTACATTAACAGAAGTTGTTCGAAATAATTTACGAAGAATAGACGTCACAACTTACATGACACTCAATAGAAACAAGTTAAAAATATGCCAGGCACAGGTGTTTGTATAGGTTAATGGTGATGATGAATGATCTTCTGTACCTTATTATGTCTTAATAGAATGACAAATAAGGATGGTATGTGCCTTTCATAGACATACTTATTTTTATATAAATATCATATGAACTTTTCTTGGGATCAGGCTTGATGTAATGCTGCTTACAATTAAAAAAAACTTTAGATTTGGTCATGGATGATGTTTTGTTAGGAAGATTATGGCTTTTTATGGCATGCATATGGATCTGGCTGCAATGACAATTGTTATTAAAAAAAAAAAAAACCAGTTTCAGTAATAGGATTTTCCACAACATGAACTATAGTTAATACGCTAACAAGATTCCATATTATCATGAAACTCAGCTTTTAGTTTCCATTTTAACATTAATGTCAGTGATTAAATATTGATGCACATAAATTTTGTAAAGACTTTACGTTGGAGCTGGTCAATAACTTAACTATTCAAATTTTTAACAAAAAGGTCTACTTGAAACACCGGTCTTCACATTTTGTCCCAACTATGGTCCATACGATGCATAAATTTTTTATTTCTGGTCTTTCAACCTCATGTCTTTGCTATTATGTTATAGTATGAAAGCGTGATAATAGCCTTTGATGTTTTGACTGAACTTATTACTCTGGGTTGATTTGTGGGAGTTTTCCTCTTGATTTTCAGCCTTATAAGCCCGGGTACACTGCACCGCCTCGTCCTCCTGATGAGGCCATTATTGATATAAGGCAAGCTGCTGACACACAATCTCTCATAAATACTGTGCTATTATAACCGAGTAATTCAATTAAATGGACATGTTTGTTGCTCTTTATTTTGATATATTCTTATTCTTGGAATTGCAGTGATGGATGGACAATCACTGGTGCTTCTATAGACCTGCGTGATCCTCGCATTCTTGCAATGGCGGCAGCTCAACGCCACTTCCTTGAAGCCGAGTACGATGCTGCTGCTGCTACTAATGCTAGTGGCACCGCATTCTGTCGATCTGCTGCTCTAATTGTATGTTCCGTACATCTTGCATGGTTATCTGTTAGGATGCTGATAGGATGAGACGCATAAGTTTGCTCTGTTGTCTGATTCATCTTTAGTTAGCCTGTTCATTGACATATCATTTTTTGTTACAACAAAGTTTTTTTTTTTCTCTGCCTTGATGGCTGAATTGGTGGTAATTAAGTTTTCTCTTCCTGTATAGGTTCTGATGTAATTTGGTGGTTTTTTTTTGTAACCCTGTTGCAGTTGATGGCCCTACTGCTACTGAGGCATGCATTAAGTATGACTGATGACGGAGATGATGATGCTGCTACCTATTTTTCCGTAATTGAAGTTTTCCTATGCATTCTCTCAGCAATCTTTTTTTTTTCCCTTTATTTTCTATCTTTTTTTAGGTTGCTATTAACTTTTTTAAGTTTTTTTTTGATGGTTCACAGATCTTTTTGATGCGTGCTGCTGGATTTCTGTTGCCATGTTACATCATGGCTTGGGCAGTTAACATCCTGAATCGAAGAAGGCAAAGACAGGTACTTATTACATCTTATTTTTTTTATATCCGTGTTATTTATTATTTTTTTTATGAGCAGCGTGAGCATTCAACCTTGGTTTCTTGATATTCTTCGCTTTATTATCATCCAATGTGCTACTGTTTTACGTCTAATGAATATAATGCCACCATCTTGACTAAGTTCTCACCAATTTACAGGAAGCAGCAGCCATGGCCGCAGCTGAAGTTGCCTTCATTCTTCAGTCTAGTCAAGGAAGGAGCCTGCAGTTTACCATTGCTCCCGAATCACCTGCTACTCCTCAGCAAGAGCCTCATCACTAAACGTTTCAGACCAGCTCTGTACAGAGCTACTTCGGTGTTACTATTTCCCTTATTTGCACTTTTGAGGTGAAAATTAGAGGTTTTTAAATACATGTGCTCGATAAATTCATTCTTAAATTCTGAATTTTAGTATGTACATAATTGAAATGTTCATGAGATTTTCTGAGATGAGATGGATTTTGTTAATGAATTGTACCAACCTTTTTTTGGATGATATTGATCAATTATAAATTCTTGATGGTGAAATGATACTCCTCATTCACAAATTAGTGATATTATTTTTTTTTGCTTTAATTATGGATGTTTTTATGAACATTTACAGGAGGATGTATCTTAGTGTGTGCTTTTCGTTGATGATAGCCTTCTTGTGGATAATTAGAGAAAGAGTACAGGAAACACTTGAATTATGGAGGTCTGACCTTAGTTTAAGTAGATCTAAAATTGAATACATGGAGTTTAATTTTAGTAATAGTAGATTTAGTGGTAGAGTTGTAACAATGGGCGATCAAATCATTAAAAAGAGTGAATGTTTTAGATATCTCGGGTCTATTATTTAAAATGATGGTGATATAGATAGGGATGTTACTAGTAGAATTCAAGTTGGACGACTTAAGTGGAGGAATGCATTGGGCCTATTGTGTGATACAAAAGTATTAGTGGTGAATATTTTATGGCTTAGAATGTTGTCCTACAAAATAAAAGCTTAAAATGAAGTTTAAGTGTTGTTGAGATGAGAATGCTTAGGTGGATTAGTGGCTGGACTCTTAGAGAATATAAAACGAATGTATTCGTGAAAGGTTTGGTGCAGCTCTAATGGCATACAAGATCTGAGAGTCATTTTGGGTGGTTTGGTCACATGAGTGTCGGTCATTTGATAATCCTGTTATGAGAGTAGATGTTTTAGATTCAATTTATTTTAAGAAAGATAGAAGTAAACCTAAAAGTACTTGAACATGTTATATAAAAATCATCTTAATTTATTACAATGGAGAAAAATGATTCATGTTGCCACTACGATTTAGTGGGATAAAAGTTTATTGTTGTTGTTGTAATATTATGTTTTTGGTGAGTTGTGGGATGGATAGGAAGATATTTCTACTTGTCTCCAATCTCAACATGCCTGGTGAAGGACTAATTTACATTTATCAAAATAAGGGGCCGGCTTATGAATATAATAATAATAATAATAATAATAATAATAATAGTACTAATAAAATTCAACTTTTAAAAAAGGTGGCAATTAAATATCATTGCCATCATTATGAGTCTGTTTGGGGCAGCTGTAGTTTCTCAGCTTTTCAGTTACAACTTAGTTGCGATCCTACAAATTATTTTAATAAAAATAAACAAATATCTTCTTTTAATGTAATTCTGCAAATTATTAAAAAAAGTTTTTTAAGAAATCATATTTAATCCAAAAACACTCGATGACTGAGAAAGCAAGCTGGCACAAATGTGAACAAAAGTGCGTAAAATATGTTACATTTATATGTAAGAATTAGGCTTGGAATTTTATATGTTATGGGGCTTATCTGTAAATATCCGATGGAATGTCCTGCACGAGCAAATACTATTTTAAGCAACCAGTGGTTGGCCGTGGTAGGCTTACCTGCTTTTTAAAGCTTGAATATTATCCACTAAAAGCAAAGTGGAATGTGAAAGCAGTTCATCGACTCTTCTTAGTCTTTAATTTATGATACAACGTATTGAGACAGTTTGGTATGATATTTATGTAATAGATAATAAATTATATATATATATATATATATATTTTTTCTTGGGAGGATAGTGACATGCAGCCTCTAAGGATTTCAGATATTTAATTAGTAATATATAGATATTTAAAATAAGGTCCAAATATGAAGTCCTATTCCGACAATATTACCACCAAGATTTCATCATTCCAAATATATTCTAACCGTTCACTCCAAAGCTTTGTCTCAAGTGTTCCATTAATTTGATCAGATTCATTCCTCACATCCTAAAGGAGTCCACTTTACATCTTATTGTCATGGTGATCATCACCATTCGCTCTACTTTTCCCTAAGAGATGCAACATGGCCAAAAATGCTATTGCATGCAAATGCTACACAAGTGCACGCAAAGTTGTGTTGTTATTTGTCACATTGCCCAAAGATGGAAAAAAAACATGATGAAAATGTACGACTCATTATACGTTGCATGTTTGTTGGCTTTCCCGCTAATGTTGTTTTTCATGCATGTCGAGTTTTTATTTTCTCTTTCAAACGTATTTGATAGTCCATAAGCCGAGTCTCTATCGAAAATAAGGTAAAAGCATGAGTTTTGAGGCAAATGACGCATCAAACCACACGATAGAGACCAAGTGTGGTAGCTCGTGTCTCGTAACTTAAAGTCCAAATTCTATATTTTTGTATAGATCTAGGTCGGGCATTTATATGAAGAGTCCAACCGCCTTTCCTGGTTTTTCCTAGGGTATGTTGTAGACCCAGCGACACAGTCATCTTTTATATACTTTGGAGTGCTTTTACTTCCTATCCGTGCCTGCATGCTTATATTGTTTTTCTTATTTCTTTTTGGCTTATCTGGGATGCCACAAAAATTACAATTTAGGCTTTTTAGAACCTTAAAATTATAATTTTTTCTACATAAAAATCATAATAAAGTATTTAAGATAAATTAAAATTTTGGATTAAAAGATTCAGGATTTTTAAAATCAGACTTTAATTTTCCTACATGGCCTTCAGACCAGTTTTAAAACGGCATGCATTGCATGAACATAACCCAAGTGGTCATTCTCAATATCTAAGGACCACTTTATATAATTACATCATTTGCATGTCTTGAGGAAAAGCCTTTGTGTTTCTCCAACCCGACTGACCCAACATATGTTCTCTACTTAAGGAGTTGTTTGGTGTGCTTATGTAGTTAGAAGACTCCCCAACCCAGACGGGGTGTAATTTCTTTTGTTGTGAGTGTTTACAACTATGCAGCTGAATCTCCCTTTCTCCTTTCCAGCGACATCATCACCACTTCGACAGATATAAGTCCCACCTCTTTGAGCTCTACCTGATAGTCATAAGATAAAGTCTCATTCCTTCGAGCTTAGGGCTACTGAGGTCCTCATGTACGACGCAATTCACAGATTGTTGACTGAGGATCCCTGCATGTGTTGGGTCGACTATCTTCACGACCAGGTAGACTTAGGTTCCTAGTAGCTTGGGATGACAGGATTATGGTACCTTGACCCGACTACATCTACCTTTTAAGGATTACTCATTCCTTCCTTTGAGTACTATTGTTGAGCCCTATTGCTCTTGTTGCTTTCGTTGGTATCATCTCAATGGTCTGATTGCCGATGAGCTGCCACCCATTTAGGATACAACAATTTGTCATATGATTTTATGATCCCAATGTGCTTTGACACATCAGGATGATTCGATTATTCGCAGGCTCCATATGCTAATGAGTATGTTACCCATGTAGGGTCCGCGAGAGACTGACTCACCGCCCCGTGGCTTAGCAGGAGCTTTGAAAGCATCAGAGCATTCCCATGTGAGATAACCATCCTTTGATAGTTTTGTGCTAGTCATCACCACTAATGTAAGTAAAACTCCTTAGATTAAGAGTTTTATTGGGCAACCCCAAAGATGTAATTAATAAAGTGAGATAAATCCCTTTATGAGCACTCTAAACCTCAAAACAAGCAATCACACCGAATCTTTGGTTGTGAGTAGTCTACGTATGTATTCTTTCGAGGATATTGGTCCAAGGTGCTTTCACCTGATCTTTTTTGGGCTCATATACTTGACGCATGTAGGCTCCCCACGTTCTTTCTCTTGCTTGTCGTATGTACGTCTTTTCTGTTTCCTCTCTTCTCCTGATCATTCACATGATCTAAAAAGAAATTTATTTGAAAAAGAGAAGTATATGATGATGACAAACTGATGACTCCTTTGAAAATAAAAAGAGAAAAAAGAACAAAACAATCACGAAAAAGAAAATACATTGAAGAGAGAAATAAAATAGCGTGTGATTCAAAATATGTTATAATCAATGATTGACATCATTGGAGTCAGAGAAAAAAGTTGGCTAACGAGCCAATTTGAGATTCAAGCCATAAATAAAATGTCCTTCAAGCTTCCTAAGGAATAAAGTAAAGTTGTCAAATAATTGGATGGAGTTGGTTGGTCCAATATAATAGATCAATTGAGGTACTTAGGGATGTTATGTGAGGATTAACCAAAGGTCAAGTCCAAAAAGACGTTAAGAATGACATCATTTTCATTAGGACATAAACAAAACCACACATTCAACCTCCTTGCTTAGATTGAGTCTTTTTGCTCTTCCTAAGTGAAGCGATCAAAATTTAGACTTCCTAATCTCCATTGATTTCCTTGACCACTCATCTTCGTTTACATTTGGTAGTATTTAAGACAATTCTTATGCCCCCCAACTTAATGGTAAGTATACTAAAACACCCATATTAACTGGTTTAAACCATATAAGATCTTAATAAAAATACATGGATCACAATCATTGTAAGGGCATCATAATAAATCCTTTAAAAATACATGAAGGCTTTGCCAAACCAAAAAAGATTGTAAGTTTGAGAATGAGATTTTGATGTGAGCTTCATTCTTGCACAAATTTGACAATGACATTCATACAACTATCATTATCAATAATCTATTTTCATGACTTATCACCACACCTAAATGTTGGTGGAAAATGACAAAACGTTCTCAATCTATGCCAAATTATGGGGCAGCAATACACACTATAATATTGCAAGGTGTGACCAATTTAATGCAACATCAACATCATGAACTTTCTCATATGAGTTTACCTCCACTTGATCATGATTAAGATCTACTATGAACAATGTTAGTTGAGTTTATATAGAGAATCCTATGGGGACAATGTGGCTGGTATTGTCACGAGTAAAGCAATTAAAACTATACATCATGGAAGCACTTGTAAGCACAATCTTTCCTTTAGAATTAGTAGATTCTTTAAGGGCAAGGAGGACAATTAGGTATACTTTTATTGAGAACAAGCATGGTATTATCTAGAAAATTTATAGTTGGTATTTTGTTCTAGACATTTCTCAATCAAAGCAAAATGAAAAGCATTCTCAAGAAAATAAAATTTTAAAATTAGCCCTTTGTTTGTCGATTATCAAATCACAAATGTGATTA